CAAATAGGCTACAAGGCAGCACTTTTACACGTCAATTTTATCAAGCGAACGATGAGGTCGACATTTCCTAACTGACTACTCTGAGAAGAAATGGCGAAACAAACTCAGAGGTCTGTCTCTTTTAAAGTCCAGACAAATATGTATAAAAGATTATGTGTGAGAACCGTGCAAGTTCTTTCTGTAGTGGCCTTTTGAGGAAAGAACCACAACAGTTTGAGCGGACCCGTTCTGAAAGCAGTACGCATGTGTCGGTTTACAGTCAGCTCAATTAATAGATGAGGCTGAGTGATTCGACGAACAATACCAACCTAAAGAACATTTGCGTGGGTCGCACAAATACTCAAACTGTCAGAGTATGAGTAAGAAATAAGAAAAGAAATGGCGAGGCAAAGTCTCGCACGGTCCTAGCACTAACAATTGTAAAAATAGTATAGGGTATCAGATCGATCTGTCGTCCAGAACGGTTAAAAAACGGTTAAAAACGGTTAAAAATTTAACTCTAAATTCAACCTAGACGACTTTTTATTATCCTTCAAATAAATTGTAAGAATAATCTTAATTTTGTACCGAAAATAATTTTACTACATTGTGATAACTAATCAGTAATCGTCCATATTATGCAATTTTTTATTTTTTATTGTATGTTTTTACCTGTCTTATTTTAATTCTACCTTTTAATATTTGTACGCTGGAAACAGCAGAATATTCAGAACATAACATAACATAACATAACATCACGCCTTTTATCCCCGAAGGGGTAGGCAGAGGTGCACATTATACCACTGTACAATGTAACACCCACTTTTCACTATTTATGTTATGAGTCCCATGTAATAGGGGGTGAGCCTATTGCCATATACCGGGCACAATTCCAGACTCCGTGCTACTACTGAGAATATTTAAAAACCCAGTAATACTTTGCCCGACCCGGGAATCGAACCCGAGACCCCTTGCCCGGCAGTCGCACTTACGACCACTCGGCCAACGAGGCAGTCAATATTCAGAACATTAATTTATTTGTAACACCTTTGTAACAATATTCTAACAAATAAACGTATTAATTATTATTATATTATTATTAAAAATTCCAATTACTAAATTTAACCCAAACAATCAAACGGGTTTAATAAAAATAATATAATAGACAACTGATATACATCTTGGCTCTATCTTCGGGGAATTACAGACACAGATATTGTGGAATTTTAATTTTTTTAATAGCACATTGTTCTTAATACTGGTCCGCCTCGGGTTTTTCACAAAAATCATCTATCGACTTGATTATTAGCTTGTCAGTTTGTTATGGAAAATCCTATGATATAAATAGTTATTATCGTTCTTTAAGTATATCTGTACTTGTACGAAACAAATCTAACTGTTTTTGTAGTCATTTTTTGCTATTTTCAACCGGCGTGTATATGTATGTGATCAAGTCCGGTGCTGGTGTACGTGTCATGTTCGTGAACGGGCGCTGTCAAATGGGACTGGTCAGCTCCAGACTGTATTAAATTTGTTGTCCTCAAGGTTATTTTCTTTTTCCGTCTCCTTGACCAAATATTGGTATTACATTGTTCTCACATAATTGAACTCAACGGAAGAATGTAACCAAAAATTGTATTGTGAACATGATTGAAAAAGAGTAACCTATGGAGTTTCTTGCTCGTTCTTCTCCATAGGGATCTACACTTTGGAACGAGCAAATAGCTTCACTAGAGGACTGACCTACAGACTGACATTTTTTCTTATTTTCTTATTAATATTTAAATATTTTGTTTTGACGTATAAAAGTGCCTTCCTGGTCTAATTGAAATAAATGATTTTGACTTTGACTTTGACTTTGACTTTGACTTTGACTTTGACTTTGACTTTAACTTTGACTTTGACTTTGTCTTTGACTTTCAAAGGCGAATTGAACCTAGTGAGCGCCCTAGGCAAGTACCTTATTGGCGCCCTTAATTTTACTGTTGCTGTCACTCTTATAAGCAGAGGGCAATACAAGTTTGTCTTACGTTAAAAGTAATACAAACGATACGTACGTTGCTTTGATTGGTTGGTTCATTAGTGCTGGCCAATCAGAGCTTCGAACGCCTCAGTTGGGCACGCGCATTTCACGTCTCTGTAACCTGGCGCCCGGCATTCGCCTAAATTGCCTTAAGGATAATACGGCTCTGGATATGATGGAAGCTAAAGATATAGACAAAAAATAACTAAAAATTGCGGGTTACTACTACATCATAATAATGAGAAAAGCTCTACTAGTTTCGAACCGCAGAGGGGCTCTTCCTCATGAGCAGCGTGCGCGGTCGCGGCGATGTCGCGCAGTCTACCACTAGGTAGGCTACCTAGTATGTTTACGTGAGTAGTTAGATAATATAGACATACTAAATTAACTAAAAATCGCGGGTTACTCACTAACGATAGTTGTTATAAAAACACTAGCTACTTCCGCGCATTTTACTTCGCTCTGCTCGGCGCCTATTAATCGTAGCGTGATATTTTATAGCCTATAGCCTTCCTCGATAAATGGGCTATCTAACCCAGAAATAATTTTTCAAATCGGACCAGTGGTTTCGGATATTAGCGCGTTCAAACAAACAAACAAAAAAAACCAACTCTTCCGCTTTATAATATTAGTATAGATAGGTAAAGACAGTTTGCTATAATCTCAACACTCGTCATGGGAGAGCCTGGAGTCTCATACGGTGCTCTGACAAAATATCCAAGGACCTGGAGATGCCTATGAATGTTGCAATGATAAGTGGCGACATCTAGTAAGCAAAATCAGAATCACGATCCTCAGCAGTGAAGGAATCGACTAAGAAGTCACAGGGTCTGAGATCGTATATATTTTGGAATAATTAACGCGATTAATAATGTATTAATTGTCGTTTTTATAAAAAAAGCCGGAAAAGTTTTTGATCAAACTGGTATCATGATTGTGTCTACAAGAACCGGTTTTATTAAAAAACATTTCGAGTCGGATTTGGCCGTGAATCTACATTAACTATAATGACTACAGCTTTTGACAAAAACGAGCAATGAACTGAATGACGTAATTGGTAAAGGGTCTTAGTCCGATCGATTCCCTGGTCGGGTATGAAATGGAAAATGGAAGTATTGGATTTTTAACAAGCCATTTTACAGTTTACTTAAGAATTGGAGTTAGAAATCACCGGTTTGAGTCTTGATTGAGACATTTTTTCTTTATTAAAACTTTTTCATTTGAATTTTTAATTATACATAGAACGGAATCTGGAATAGGTTAGAACAATTCAAAATTTAATTAGTCCTACTGCTAGAAAATGAAAAAATATTAGCCATGTATTTTTTTATTTTGTCACATAATGTTACAATACTTAGGATATAACGGATTTAAGTTCAGGAGTGGGAGCTAGCTACGTCACAGCTGCGTATTAAATGTAGTAAATCGTGACGTCACATAAACTTTAAATCAATATATTGTCGAAAGTATTAATTGAAAATTGGGCATCTTTTACATAATAAGGTGGCGTGCTAAAGATGGCATTTTAATAGGTTCAGGTTTATCAGAGAGCGTTGCTGCCCGGTCTCTATGGCATGTGTAGTCCCTTAGTTGGGTACACGACACCAGCGGAAAGAGGAGTATACTTTGCGGTATTTTATATAGCCTTGCGAATTGTTACAAAAGTAATGCTTACATTTTAATTTAAACTAGAATGTTAATAACTGTATTTCACAATATCCGGAAACCTTTCAGTTTGACCATGAATTGTTAAAAAGTAACTGAATATAATTGTAGGCATTCATTTATTATTATAATTTCAAATATGTAGTAGAGCATAAAATCTAAATTTGATTCTTGTCTTGTCTTGACGACTTTATGACTGTGATGGAAGCTAAAGAAGTATGTAAGGAGCGTAGTAGGTGACGCTCTGTAGTTTCTGTATACCATCAGATGTATGAATGTGTTGGAAGCTAAAGAAGTATGTAAGGAGGGTAGTAGGTGGCGCTCTGTAGTTTCTGTATACCATCAGATGTATGAATGAGATGGAAGCTAAAGAAGTATGTAAGGAGCGTAGTAGGTGGCGCTCTGTAGTTTCTGTATACCATCAGATGTATGAATGTGATGGAAACTAAAGAAGTATGTAAGGAGCGTAGTAGGTGGCGCTCTGTAGTTTCTGTATACCATCAGAAGTATGAGTGTTATGGAAGCTAAAGAAGTATGTAAGGAGCGTAGTAGGTGGCGCTCTGTAGTTTATATATACCATCAGATGGTCGACGTGTAACGAACTAGATATATAACAAAATCTAAGAATCTGAATTACACACACTTCTAACTGTTGTATCATCATGAAACTTGGCAATTGTATGTAGATTAGATGACAATACAATATTATGGTTGCATCGAGCTGGTTTGATGATGGAATTAGAAGGTGGCTGATGGAACCTTGGACTGTTTACTGGTAAACATTACTGGGTTTGGGCTCATCAAATGTCAATTTTTTCTATTGATTGAATTGATGAGAACAAGTGAAAAGCTTGTTTTTAGTTTTTTTAACCATTTTTTTTTATTTATTTATTTTATTTATCTAGAAAACCAACAGCGTTACATATAGTTTACAATAGTTTGCGTGAATTACAGAGATTAAGGTTAATAATAGGCTTCCCTTATTTTCTAGATTTTGTAAACATGCGACATGCACTTTTTATCATCGCACCGCTCGCCATCGACAGGGGGGGCTCACGCTCACTTATTGGAGCCAAAATGGTCCCGTACAGTTCGGTTTCAGAGGGATTTTCTCCCACGGACCCTCCGATTGTGGAATGAGCTCCCTGCCGTGGTTTTCCCAGTGGGCTACAGCATGAGGTTCTTCAAGAGGGCAGTGAATAGGTTTTTTAAGGGTCGGCAAGACGCATGTAATGCCCCAAATGTTGCAGGCGTACATAGGCCACCGCTTACCATCAGGTGGGCCGTGTGCTTTTTTGAAACCGTCGTGGTATAAAAAAAAATGCGAACGGACTTAATTAACTTAACAAAATAAGATCAATAACTACCTATACAATTAAGTTATAATAAAGTTAAACATGTGGTTCTAAATTCCGAATTCAAAATATACCGTTACATGCGCACGATTTGATAATTTATTACAATACTTAAGTCGATCGATTTGAATTTAAATTTTCAATTGTGCTTGTGGGCTCATTAACTGCGAGGTTACAGGTTCGAGACCCGGCAAGTGACATTGTTTTTCTGTGAATAATTAATTTAAAACTGTCACTATATGTATGTATGTAAAATAATTATATGAAATTGTTGGTTGAACATGTTAAGGGTCGTATGTGAGGGTTGCGGTTGAGTTGTGTCAATATTTTGTGACATTATATTGTTTACTAGTTTTCTCCGTAGGATTTTCAGGAATTTTATCTGTCATAAGAACCTTCTCCTGACAATAACAAACACAGCAAAAATAATCAGCCAAATCGGTCTAGCCGTTCTCAAGTTATGGCGTGACAATGGGAAACGGGTTTCATTTTTATATATATACTAGCGGACCCGACAGACGTTGTCCTGCATATAATATAATAATAGCTATAGATAAATAACCTAGATATCGACTGCAGCGCCATCTGCCGGGCTGATTTGTGAATCTGATTTGTCACTCAAACGCATACAGAAAAATTCATTTAAACTGTCAAACACCGCGAGGACACCGGTGACCGCAACCTATTGTTCTATAATTGTGTCTATAATGACTGTACTCAAAGTGTTAAATCGGTCCAGCCGTTTGAGAGAAGTTCAGTGACATACACACGCACAGAACCATTATATATATATATATACTTAAAGAAGATAGATTTTAAAATAATAGCATGAAATATTGTTGATGTTCGTTTATGGCAATAGGCTCACCCCCTATTACATGGGACTCATAACATAAATAACGAACAGTTGGTTATAAATTATAATGCAATGGACTTCTGCCTGATTGGATAATCAAAAGCCTGCTCTCTCAATATTACATTATGACAATATGTACAATTATTCTAAAACATAGAATAAATATAATCTGTCGCCTTAATTATCATATTTTTAATTTCATGGCCCATATTAATTAGGTACAATTTTGTATTTTTTAATATTAGCTGTCGTGTTTTTGACAAAAACACATTTCCTGAACACTCAAGGTTAAATATACTTCTAGAACGATTTAAAAATTCTAAAATTACGTTTTTTAATTAAGTGTGGGAGAGCCATGCTTCGGCACGAATGGGCCGGCTCGACCGGAGCGATACCACGGCCTCACAGATAACCGACGTGAAGCAACGCTTGCGTTGTGTTTCGTCGTGTGAGTGAGGTTACCGGACGCCCAATTACCCTCCCCTTTCCCAATCTCCCCAATCCCTGAATCCCCAATGATCCTCAAACTCCTAATCCCCAAAAGGCCAGTAACGCACTTGTAACGCCTCTGGTGTTTCAGGTGTCCATGGGCGACGCCGATTGCTTACCATCAGGTGATCCGTCTGCTCGTATATCGGCTAATGCAATAAAAAAAAACCAACTATTACTACTACTTGATCAAGAACCTTTGGTCCCGTGGTTGTGGTGGTACCAGGTACTGGTAACCCACGTCATTTGGGGGGCTATCGAGGGGCCGAAGCCAACTGCGCAGAGGCCCTTTAGACAACTTTAATCTAAATGTAATGGACACACAATTATTGCTTCTATTATTACATTACTTACTATTATAAAATATCATTACTAGATTCTGCCCGCGTATACGCTCGCGTTCTCATGACAAAAATAGTTAAATAAACCCCTATTATGTATTATTTATTACTATTTCTATCTGTGTACTGAATTATATGGAACAAGTTAAGTTATTTGACATAAACTAAGTAGTAAAATAGTATCTTATACTTATCAAACAAAGCTTAAAAGTTTTTTGTTTGTTTGTCTGTTTGTTTAAACGCGCTAAACTCCGGAACTACTGGTTCGATTTGAATCATTCTTTTTGTGTTGGATAGTGCATTTATCGAGGAAGACTATAGGCTATAGAACATCACGCCACGATTAATAGGAGCCGAGCAGAGCGGGTGAAATCGCGCGGAAATAGCGAATATTAAATTATGATACTGAGAAAGATACATATAACCAGATAGTACTTAAATAAAGATGAAACTAGTTTTTCAACGAAAACTGGTTACTGAGATCCGCACAGTAAGACGGATAGACATTCCTATGATACGGTTATATTATCACGCTATGCTAAAAATAGAGGACATTAGAAGTAGATCTTAAAAATTGATTTTGTTAGAAATCTTTACTTTGAAAGAGTAAATATTATAGCCATTTGCCACGAATCACCCCTAAACCACCTCTTAACTAAGAGTTACTTAGTACCTTGAACCCTTCAGCGGTATTGAAGTGAATGAGTACCTAACAAACACACACACCTTCGCATTTATATTATTAGTAGAATGTTCCACACACCTCTGTCTACCCCTTCTAGGAGGTAAAAATAATATTATTAATGTATATTTGTTAAATTAATATTTCTTATTTTATCAATGTCAGTAATTTAAAATATATTGTTGGAAAAGAGTATAACCTATGGAGTTTCTTGCTCGTTCTTCTACATAGGAATCTACACTTTGGAACGAGCAAATAGATAGAGCAACTAGAGGACTGACTGATAGACTGACACTATATTTGTTTATTTATAGGTGAATTTATAGATGTCATTGACATTCAAAAACGCCTGTGTTTTGTTTTAAACTGTCAAACACCGCGAGGACACCGGTGACCACAACCTATTGTTCTTTAATTGTGTCTATAATGACGGTACTCAACGAGTTAAGGGAATCACCTAGTTACAAATTAATATTTTAACGAAACATAAAAGCAAAAAAAATTTTTTTTACCAATTTTCGAAAAAAAAAAAAATTAAAAAAACAGACTTACCTTACGAATTTTTTCTTTCACAATTTTCTTTATATTTCTACTATCACTACAAGATGTACTTGCGTACTTTTAAATAATAATAATTAATTATTTTATAAAATAATTATTATTGTTTGGTTAACACTCGTCAGCTTGCCATGAAGGATGGCTCAGTACTAGGCTGCGTACGCGCAACAAACTGTCGAATAAGGATTATGGCATAAAGGCCAGGTGCGCGCAACCTTTGGCTAGTCTCCAAAGACCGCCAAGTTATAAACGACTTTATATGTATTTAGCTTGCCCCGTTTGTTTGTTTGGGTCTTTAGTAATTGGATTTTCACCCCCTTCCTGACGACAGATCGATCTGATATTTGGTACACACTCTTAATCTTGATGACCATACAATATTATCTATGTTTCCTACAACTAGTTTCGAACCTCTCTTTGTGTGGTCTACAGATTACTGAACCGGGTCTGGGTGTCATGTGTATGTATTTTTTTAAGGGGTAAAATCTTCAAATGTCTGCTCCCGCCTGGGTGAGGTGGGAGGGAGTGTCAGACTCTTACTGACTAAAAACCACCCCGTTCCTTCTCCTGCACTTCGAGCTGGAGTCCCGGTAATCCGTTAGGTTCTCCGCGACATGTATTATATATTGAAAAGTATATTATTATAAAGTAACTGGTTTTAATAAATCATATCGTAAAATTGTTATTGATTTGAATAAGCTAAACCAAAAAAAAATTCCATTTAAATTAGGTCCATAAAAAATGTCATTAAACATTTTTTTCTGTTCAAAGATCGTTGTCCGAATGTGCGGCACCTCTGCGCCCGCGCACGACCTGCGACTGCCTTCGTGTGACGTCATCACACTCTAGATCAACATACGATATATGACACAAACATACACTTCTGTTATTGTACAATATAAATACTTGACATTTTGTGGTTTTTCTAGACATATTTTTATAGTTTAAACACTCTATACGCATCAAGCTATAAATCCAATATAAGCTGACCGACAAATGTGCGTAATGATCATACAAAGCGGGGCCATGATAAAATGGTTTTGTATAGCTCCACGCATCAAGGTATGCAACCTATATAAGCTGACCGTCAAATGTACGGAACGGTCATACGAAGCGAGACCACGATAAACTGGATTCTATAGCTCTATGTATGAAACTATTACGAATAACCAGTATAAACTGACCGTCGAAAGTGCAGCAAGATCATACAAAGCTAGACCATGATAATCTGGTTATGTATAGGTTGATGTGTTATCGTGTGTACGTCCATGGGAGAGCCATGCTTCGGCATGAATGGGCCGGCTCGACCGGAGTGATACCACGACCTCACAGAAAACCGACGTGAAACAACCCTTGCTTTGTGTGCAGCAGTGTGCGTTTCTGGAAACCCTCATCCCCTATCTGTGGATCCCCAGATCCCTAATATCTCAACCCCAAATAGCTGGCAACACATTTGTAACTCCTCAGGTGTACATGGACGGCGCTGATTGTTTAGTGTGATAGTCTCGAGAAGAGCTATAGAAATTATCCTATGAAAAGGTCTAATGAAGTAAGGCTACCATCAGGTGATCGGTCTTCTCGTTTGCCAGCCTATGCCACCAACAGCCCTTGGCAGTCCTAGTCCTGTACTAGCCGTAACCGGGGCTCCGGCTCGACGTGCAGGAGAAGAAACGGGGTGGTTTTTAGTCAGTAAGAGTCTGACACTCCCTCCCGCCTCACCCAGACGGGAGCAGTCATTCGATGATTTTCCCCGCTTAAAAAAAAAGTCCTATACTGGCCAGGCGAGAGCTGTCTTCGATGAGTTCCTTACTTAAAAAGAGTCCTCTACTGAACCATTTTTCTTCTTTCTAGTCGTTATCTTCATTACTGAAGGTCGTGTCTAGTCTGGTGCACGCGTCACTTGATGCACCCTCCTCCAAACTGGACAATGGACCTCCTTTATCAAAGTTTTAAAAATAAATGGCGTGATAAAAAAGTATTTTTTTATCAACAGCCTATAAATGCCCACTGTTAAGCAAAGCCTTTTCTCACACGGAGGAGGTTTGAGCATTAACCACCGCACTAGCTCAATGCGGGTAAACGATTTGAAAATTATAATTAGACATTATAAGCCCAGGTTTCATTACGTTGTTGTTCCTTCACTGTTTGTCAGTGGTGTCTGGATAATCTTAGAGAGTACGTATAACTCGGAAAAAGTCACATTGGTACTTGTCGTTGGTAGGTTTCGGATCCGCATTCTCTTGCATATTAAACCTCCACGCCACTAAAACCCAAGTCAGAAGAATAGTTACTATTGCTATTATATATATTAGCACAAAGAAAATGGTTTTGTAATATTAAAAAGACTTACCGTGATATAATAAGTATTTATCAAACCTTCCGCTGACCTTTCCTTAAAGAAAAAGGAAAAATATGTTTTTATTAATGTCTTATTGTCTAGTCAGAAGAATAATTACCATTTATCAGTTCAAAGAAAACAGTTTTGCAATGTCGATAACAAAGATAATATTACGCCTTTTATTTATAGAAAAAAAAATTGGTTGCCTGTAAAGTCGGTATATGGGTGAAAGTTTTACGTGACAACGAAGTTTGAGTGGTAAAATAATTGTAATGTGAATATTCATTCGTATAGTAGGAAGAAGGATGAAATAATTAATAGTAACAATTTAAAACATTTATTTATACAAAGAATTATATTTAAAACATTAATTTATACAAAGAATTATATTTAAAACACTAATTTATACAAAGAAGCAAGACATGAACCGGTGTATGCCTCTCTCTCTCACTCTCTCTCTCTCTCTCTCGCTCTGTCTCTTTCGCTCTTAGGCGGGCTAACTGTGCTCGAGTGGAAGGGACGCGTGCCTTTCCATTTTTTATGTCTATCTCTCTCGCTCTTAGGCGGGCTAACCATGCCCGAGTGGAAGGGACGCGTGCCTCTCACTCGCTCTCATTGTTAGCGCATAACGTGAGCGGAGCGTAACGCAGTTTCTTGAAGTGTCACCCGGCAAACCAATTTATAAGACGTTGTCACGTCAAAATAAAAAATACTTACGTTCAAAAAATTAAAAACTGCGTTTAAAAAAACCGACTTCAAAAACTAAAAACAAACGAAAAAAAGTAAAAACCATAAAGCAGAAAATAACTATTATTGGTACTTATACCTTTTTTTAAGGGGGATAAATCATCGAATGACTGCTCCCGCCTGGGTGAGGCGGAAGGGAGTGTCAGACTCTTACTGACTAAAAACCACCCCGTTCCTTCTCCTGCACGTCGAGCCGGAGCCCCGGTTACCCGTTAGGTTCTCCGCGACACGTACTTATAGCTTACACACCTACTGATAGGTAAGAAGTCGGTATATTATTTTTTATTTACCTACTTTTTACCGAAAATCACGAACTGGAACGGGAAAAAAGACGGGATTGCGCGTACGAAGTCGCGGGCAAAAGCTATTTATTGATAATCTTAAAGGTCTTATTTCAACAACATGCCTGCGACATAAGTGACTAAAATATTACACAAAAACAAGAATTTAACATGCAAAACAGGCGTAGTAAAAATATAATGTTACTTGTGTAGGATTGATCGCGGAAATATACACTTATATACTGGACTAGCTGTCGCCCGCGACTTTATCCGCGTAGAATATGAATTTTAGAACATAACTTTATTTTTGTTTCAATTTTCCAAAATAACTGCTGATTGCCTGGTTGGCCGAGTGCGACTGCCGGGCAAGGGGTCTCGGGTTCGATTCCCGGGTCGGGCAAAGTATAGTAACTGGGTATTTAAATATTCTCAGTAGTAGCACGGAGTCTGGAATTGTGCCCGGTATATGGCAATAGGCAGGCTCACCCCCTATTACATGGGACTCGTAACATAAATAGTGAAAAGTGGGTGTTACATTGTACAGTGGTATAATGTGCACCTCTGCCTACTTGTACCTTCGGGGATAAAAGGCGTGATGTTATGTTATGTTTCCAAAATAAAAGTAGTCTATGTTACTCCTTAGTACATCAGCTACCTGCCAATAAAAGTCTTGCAGAATCGGTCCAGCCATTCCAGAGATTAGCCAGTAAGTACAAACAGACAGACAGATAAAAATTATAAAAAGTATTATTTTGGTATGTGTATCGTACCTATGTCCGCTTTTCACGATATGCATCATATGCATATAGTGACTAGCGGTTATTTTAATATTACAAACAGACACTCCAATTCTGTTTATCTGTATAGATTTATATACTTACAAAAAATTAAGGCTTCGCATTGATCTATACATAACCAGTGTATCTTGATCTAGCTTTGTATGACCGTTCTGCACATTCGACGGTCACTTTATAATGGTTATACATACCTTGATGCGTGGAGCTATACAAAACCAGTGTATCTTGATCTTGCTTTGTAAGATCATTCCGTATATTCGACGGTCAGCTTATACTGGTTATTTACACCTTGATGCGTGGAGCTATGCATAACCAGTGTATCTTAATCTTGCTTTGTACGATCGTTCCGTACATTCGACGGTTAGCTTATACTGGTTATTCATAGCTTGATATGTACATATTATGTATTTACTCGACATAAAGCCACAAATATTATCAAGGCTTAATTATTTTAATGGCATTCGCACTTTTTTTTTTGAGGGAGGAAAATTATCCAATGACTTCTCCCGCCTGGGTGAGGCCAGAGGGAGTGTCAGACTCTTACTGACTAAAAACCACCCCGTTCCCACATAATCCTCCAATTTCCAAAAGGCTGGTAACGCCTCTGGTACTTAACGGGTTGCCGGGGCTCCGGCTTGAAGTGCAGGAGTAGGAACGGGGTGGTTTTTAGTCAGTAAGAGTCTGACACTCTCTCTCGCCTCACCCGGGCGGTCGGTGGGACAAAATATTAGTAGGTTTAAAAAAAATCTCAGTAGTAGCACGTAGTAACTACGCAATTGTGCACAATTCACAATAGTAGCACGAAGGCCGGAATTGTGCCCGGTATATGGCAATAGACTCACCCCCTATTACATGAGACTCATAACATAAGATTATTGTCTGTAAACACACTAGATTAAGAACATACTATAAAAATTTTGTATGTCTGTACAGACACAATGTGGCGCACTACCATAATATTATCTACCATCTATTGTAACATACCTACATTGACGAAATAAACAATATTTGTATTTGTATTTGTACATAAATAGTGAAAAGTGGGTGTTACTTTGTACAGTGGCATTAAGTGCCATAATGTGCACCTCTGTCTACCTCTTCGGGGATAAAAGGCTGGATGTTATGTTATGTTTATTATATCTATGTATGGTCCTTATTATACCCGGGGTAATCATTTAACCAAAATTTTGGAATAGGGGTAGATAGGAATACATAGGTCACTTTTAGGAATGCGGGCGAAACCGCTGGCAGATGCTTGTTAGCTTATAATTTAAATAGGAAAGTATAGAATTGAAAGATATTCGCCTATAGTACCTGTTACTTGAACTTTGTACTTAATCAAACGTAATATATTTACAATTTAGATCTATATTAAGTATTCACTCGCGCGATAATGGCTGACCTTTCCATTGAAATTAAATTATTTATTCGCTTTAAGTTTAATCTAAGGAAAATACCGATGTATTGTCGTTGAACAGTTACTATTTATATGCAAGACATTTTTATTATTTTAACAGTTTAAAAACAACATAACATCACCCCTTTTATCCTCGAAGGGGTAGGGAGAGGTGCACATTATGCCACTGCACAATGTAACACCCACTTTTCACTATTTATGTTATGAGTCCCATGTAATAGGGGGTGAGCCTATTGCCATATACCGGGCACAATTCCAGGCTCCGTGCTACCACTTAGATTTTTTTTAAACTCAGTGGTACTTTGCCCGACCCGGGAATCGAACCCGAGACCCCTTACCCGGCAGTCGCACTTGCGACCACTTGGCCAACGAGACAGTTTAAAAAGTAGAAAGTAAATTAAAACTTTGAAAGTTATCGTGGTGGCCCGAAGGTTAAGACGCCCGCTTCTCATGCATGAGAGTGCGGGTTCGAAACCTACCAACGGCAAGTACCAATGTGACTTTTTCCGAGTTATACGTACTTTCTAAGATTATTTAGACACCACTGAGAAACGGTGAAGGAAAACATCGTGAGGAAACCTAGGCTTATAATTTCTAATTATAAGTTTGAAATCGGAAACCCGCATCGGAAGCAAGCGTGGTGATTAATGCTCAAACCTTCTCCGTGTGAGAAGAGGCTTTGCTCAGCAGTGGACATTTATAGGCTGTTGATGATGATGATGATAACTTTGAAAGTGAAGTCAAAACTGTATTATCCCTAAGGCAAGCTAGACAAGTGCCGGGCGCCAGATTACAGAGGGCGCCGTGAAACGCGCGGGCATAACTGTACATACAGTAACGGCGGCGCCAAAATAAATTGTATAGGTAGCGTCATCCTCGCTAATTATACTAGTAGTAGGCACTAATCTGGGCACGCTGTCACAATATTTAAAGATGAACACATTCATAAAAAAAATATTTATACTCTATGGTCATCTCACTGGCAACATCATTGTACTTCTTTGTGCACGACCTGTCACGTCGTACTGGAAAATTTTTCAATTTT